CCGCCCCCTCGGGGAGCGGCACCGACGAAAAGTTCCGCGCGTCGTCGAGCTCCGGTCGGGACGGGTCGGCATTGTGGATGCGTGGCGGTGTCGAGCGGAGGCAGTGGCGGAAGACGAAGAGCTCGGTTGCCATTGAGCAAGCGAGGCGCCCGTAAATGGCGAGGATGCCACACGCAGCTGGCCACACCCGCAGCTGTTTTTCACCGCACCCCAGCTGAAGGCCGTCGGCCCGCTTCAAGGAGATTTTTTCTTTTTTATTCTTTCCCTCCAACCCTGCTCCAACTCCGTCGGCTGCAGCCGGCCTGCTCCTCACATTTTGGCCTGCTCGTAGGGCACCACAACCGTCTCTCATGGCTGCTGTCACCTGCACATCTACTCCTCCTCCTGCCGAGTACGACGACGCTTGCACTGAACCACGCGTGATAATCAGCGAGGTTGCGGCCAGCGGTGCAGATGGAGAGCCGTGTCATGACGACTGGGTCGAGCTATTCAATCCGCACCCGACCCGTTCTGCGCCTCTGCTTGGCCTCGTGCTGTCTGACGATCACGGCTTCGACCGCAGCGACCGGCTCGCCCTCGGCGCTTCTGGGTGCCCAACTTCGCTCGCAAACAGATCGTACCTCCTCCTGTGCAGGGCGGACTCGCCCTGCGGCTTCGCCTTTGGTATTGGTCGGCACGACGTAGTCCTCCTCTTCAACGCCAGCGGCAGCCCGCTCGACGAGACGGCGGGGTGCTGCGCGAACAGCGCGCAGCGCAGCTTCGGCCGCAGCCCTGGCGGCGCATGGACTGAGCTCGACGTCCGCACCCCGGGCGCTCCAAACACCGGCGTGGCGCACGCACCCCCACCAGCACCGCCGACGGCGCCACTGGCGGGCTCCGCGCTCGGTCTCGGCGACCTGCGGCATGTTGCGACGCTCGTCGTGCCTCCCCCGCGGCCGGGCGCCGCGGCCGTCGTCGACCTGTCCGGAGTTGCAGTGGCGGCGTGGGAGGACCTCTCGTCGGGCGGCTGGCGGGCCACCTTGCAGACGGTCGTGAACAGCGAGCCGGCGGTAATCGAAGTTGAGGTCGAGGCGACCTCCGCGGCCTCGCCTCCCGTGCTGCGGCGGCGCCGAACCTTCCTCCTCGAAGGCTTCGAGGACACCGAGGGCATCGCCCTCCTCCCTTCCGGTCAAGTTGCGATCGCGCAGGAGCGGCGGATGGCGGTGAGCGTCCTCCTACTCCCGCCCGCCAGCAGCTCCGAGGGAGACACGGCGAGCCACCTCGAGACCCGGCTGGGACTGGGCGCGGCCAACACTTTCGACACAAGGCTGCCCGCCGAGAGGAACAAGGGGCTTGAGGGCGTCGCGTACGACCCCGAGCAGGGCCTGCTCTACGCCGTGCAGGAGAGCGATCAGTAGTATCATCCACTTACCCGCCGCACCGTCGCACACCCGTCGCAGCCCGAGGAAATCTCCGGCTGCGAGACCTCAGTCGCCCCACCCGAGATCCGCAGGAGAAGTCGCCCATCCGCGTCGTCGCGCTCAACCTCACCACCGGAGCGGTCGCCGACCTCTTCGACGCACCGTCTGTGCTCGGCAGGCACGTGAGCGACCTGGCGGGCGCGTGGTTCGCGCCGCGGCAGCGCGTCCTCCTCCTTCTCTCCCAAGAGTCTCGCCTCCTCGTCGAGGTCACCCTCGACGGCCAGGCGCCGGGCCTGCCGTCCTTGGCCCGCCGGGTCCTGCTGAGAGGTATTGGATCCTGCGCGCGCCACCCAACGAGCGTGCCTTGCCCGCGCGCCTGCCCCCAGGTGCGCGCCGTCCAGCGCATCAGCGGCACGCAGCCGGAGGGCGTCGCGCTCTCGCCCGACCTGTCGACCCTCTTCCTCGCGTCAGAGCCAAACGAGCTGCTCGTGTACCGCCGGCCTCCCTCGCCGCTCTCGCCGCCGCCGCCGTCGCTCATAGTAGAAGGAGGCGTCATCGCCGCCGTGGGGGTGCTGGGGCTCTTGGCCTTGCTCTGCATCGCATGCCTCGCTTGCAAGCTTCGCCGCCACCCGAGGCCTGTTCGGCAGCTCCAGGCGAAGGAGCTGTTGGAGATGCACGACGTGAAAGCTCTTACACCCTCACCGGACAGGAGCCCGAACAGTGAGAGATCGGTCACGTAAGGGAGAGAGCGAGGCAACGAAAACAGCCCTGCCCATAAATCTCCTCTGATCTCCGCCGGACTTTGAAAGGCAGCGGGAAATCGCGTCGTCGCACCCCCCTAGATCCCCCTAGTGTTTTACCTCCGTCGGCCTAGCCATGTCATCTTGCCGCCTGCTTTTCGGTCTCTTCGCTGGAGCGACGGGGTTCCAACAACTCAAGTTCCTCGGAGATTGGCAGTCTGGGGCTTGGGACACGGACGCCGCGGAGAATGTCGCGTACGACAAAAGCACGAACCGCGCCTTCATCGCTTCTGCAGAGAGTCGCGCACTCAAGGTGCCTTGCTCTAGCTGAGCTCACCTTCTCGGGCGGCGATCCTCCCACACCACCCTCTCATGCGCCCTCGCTCGCACCAGGTGGTGAGCGTCTACGACCCCGTCAACTTGGAAACGGTCGGCACCCTCGACGTCGGAGCCGCCATGGCGCTCGAGTGCCAGGAGGTCGACTGCATCTACGAGGACATGGACTTCGGCGGCGGTTCGGCGCCATGTGGCTACGCTCCGATGAAGAACATCATCTTCGACAAGGGCGACTGCTCGGCGTGCGCCGAGTCCGGCACGTGCGACGCCTCCATGTGCGTCTACACCTCGAACCCGGGCTACAACGCCGGCACCCTGTCCGTCGACGCGAGCGTCAGCACCGTCGAGGGGTGCCAGGCTGCATGCGTTGCCGACAACGCCTGCGAGTTCTTCTCGTGGGAGAACGAGGTCCGCGCCGCCCGGAGCGCGACCCTCGACCATACCTCCATCAAGCCTGGCAGCCGGCTGCAGGCCGCCAGCGTGCCATTCCCCCCCCCCCCCCCCCAAACGCAGGTCTGGGCCAACGGCGACACGTCCTTCTTTGGCGAGACGTACAACGGCGTGCATCGCGCGGCTCGCTGCTTCCTCAAGGAACCTCTCCGCCCCCCTTCCTCTCCCTCCTATCACTCATCTCTCTCCCTCCTCCCCGTGGGGGGCCCCACCCATCTCTCTGTCCCAGCTCTCTCTCACCTCCCTCACCTCACCTTGCTTCCTCCAGGGCCCGTACGGCACCGCCTCGCGCGAGGGCGCCGACATCTCCTCGACCGACTGCGAGTCCTTCGTCCACTGGGAGGCATCACACCACCGCCAACACCACCCGCCAGCACCCTCTCCGCCACCCGTGCCGCCGTCAATTTCGCCGCCGCCTCCCACGCCGCCGCCGCCCACCCCGCCGCCGCCCACGCCGCCGCCGCCCATGCCGCCGCCCACGCCACCCCCAGCCTCCTTAACCCCCCCCCCCCACCCCCACCCCACCCCACCTCCCAGGCGCACAAGAGCCAGACCCACCGCGGCGACCTCTGCACCGGCATCACCGAGGAGCAGTGCAACGGCATCCCGGACGCGCAAGTGGAGGGAGGTGCGCCGATCCTGTTTCCCGCCGCAGTCCTTCCCCCCACCGCCCCCGGGCCTTTCGCACGGTCACCGCCGGCGTCGCCTCACCGGCACCGCGCCGCGCCCTCGTCGAGCGAGCCTCTCACGGGACAGCACATAGCATAGCGGCAGCAGCGCAGGCAGGGGCGGCCACAGCATTGTGTTCTCACCCCCCCCCCCCCCACACACACATCGCAGGTGCGTGCACGCTCGGGGGCGCCGGCCGCTCTGGCCCAAACTACGGCGACGATGTCCTCTGCACCGACCTCGGCGGCACCGTCTCATCGCCTGAGTGGGTTGGCGGGCCACGCTACGCGTTTGGCTTCGCCCCGGGCAACCACTACACGCACGTCTACGACAAGGACTGGATCGGCGCGTCCGGGCCGGCGTTGTGCGGCAACTTCCGCGCCGAGTCCGTCCAGTCGGCCGCCACGACGGGGTACCCAACTCTACTAGCTCATTCATGATTGTTAATGCCTCACTGATTCACGAAACAGGTCGGCGTCACGCACGTCCCAAACTACCCAAACGCGATCGTCGCCGCCGCCTCGCCGCACCACTACTCGTTCGCGGACGGGATGCTCGCCTTCTTCGACGCGAAGACGCTCGACTTTCTTGCGTGCGCCCCCACGGGCACCACCGGAGGGATGACATCGGGCTCCCTACGGCCGTATCTCGGCTGCATCTCGGCTGCATCTCGGCTGTAGGCAACAAGCCGGAGGGGATCGCCTCGGACTTCAACGGCCTTCCCGCCTCCCACACGCCTCCCTCCTCTGCGGCCTCCTCTTCGCCCCTCACCCCTCGCCCCTCGCCCCTCGCCCCTCACGCCCGCCCCCCACCCCTCAATCCCCGTGACCCCATCCCCCACCCCCACCCCCACCCGCACCCTCCACTCCCACTCCCTCCCCCACCCCCACTCGGGGGTCCCACCCTCCACTCCGACCCCTCAGGCAAGATCTCGTGCATCAACGAGGGGTCGGCGCTCGAACTCTCCGAGACCCCGCTCGACGTCGAGGGCTCGATGACCATGTGCACCGCGACGGCGTCCGCCGGCGGCGCGGACTTCAGCGTTGCATGCGAGACCAAGGCGCCGGACCCGCCCCAACCACCACCACCGCCGCCGCCACCACCACCACCGCCTCCCCCTCCCCACCACCTGACGGATGCCCTCCCCACCTCTCCCCCGGCGGACACCGGACAGGACTTCTCCCCGCCCAACTTCCTACCCGGCGCCTGGAAGCACGCGCCCGAGTTCCGCACCGACATGGTGCGGCTTTTCGGCCCCAACGGCAACAACGTCACGTACGACATGAGCCCGAAGGCGGTGCCTCAACGTGAACGAATGCCACTCACGAGTCGTCATTCTTGACGACAGGTACGACCTCGAACCCGAGGGCGGCGCCTTCACCGAGGACGGAAAGTATCAGATCGTCGTCATCCAAGACAACGACGCCTATGCGCTGTATGATGTCGCCCTTGACGGGGCTCGGGCGTGGCATACACAGGCGAGGCCATCTCAACAAAGAAGGGCGGCAAGTCCACATACGACCCCATCGCAGTCGCGCCAGAGCGCGAGGTGGTGGTGGAGGAGAAGCTCTCCACCGGCGCCATCATCGGCATCGCCATCGGCGCCTGACTGCCTTCTCGTCCGTCTCAGGACTCAGCGCGGCAGGCTCCCGAGAGTGCCGAGATTGCCCAACCAAGATAACCCGTGCAACCTCATGAGGGTGGTCGGGGCAGTGTGGCAGGCGCCCGAGAGTACCCGAGATCGCCCTCGTGATGTGGTCTGTTGTGCAGTGGTCACCTCGGGGCAGTGGCAGGAGGCCAGGAGCCCAAGCACGCAACCTCGGGCAATCTCGGGTATTCTCGGGCGCCGGCCACTGCCCCGACCACATCACGAACGACGTTGCACGGGTACTCTCGGGCAATCTGGGCACTCTCGGCTACTCGGGCGCTCTCGGGCACTCTCGGGAGCCTGCCGCGCTGAGACGGACGAGAAGGCAGGAAGAGACTGCAGTGAGACGGAAGTGAGACGGAGTGATGGATCTATTGAGACACCGCTAAGACGCTGAGAGTGAGACAGGGACGAATTCACGTGAGACTGAGACGAATCAACGTGACGCCCGCCGCGGAAACGACGAGTGGCCGGACCGCAAGATGGGGCGCTCTCACAGGCACTGGAGGAGCTGAAAGAAGAAAGAGAAAACGCCCCATCATCACGTCTCTAAGGGTGCCGTATTCAACAAGACCTGCCACCTTCGGCGAGGCAGCACACTACAAGCCCCCTCGCAGCGTACTTACTACATACGTGAAACAGCGCCCGCGATCGAGTTTGTTTTTTGCGATCGACGCGCACGGACGGGCAAAACAAAAATCTCTCTCTCGGGCGGGGGAGAAGCGGAGAGGCTACCTTACCTTACCTTACTTACCCTTACCTTACCCGCCCGTCTTTAGGCCACATCAAACCTAAATGCTAAAATGCCGGGGTCCGACCCTAAAACCTCGGCGCCCGGCGCCTCGGGGTATGAATCTGCATGGGCCGATATTCACAGCTCAGAGCCCCTTGTTGTTGGACGTCCAAGGGAATGTCCACAAACAAGGGGGTAAGTAACGCACACCGTCTGCCATCTAGGCATGTCGCGCATCAGCGTCCGTGAGCAAGCCGACGGCAAGCTGATCGGATGGCAACCGTCGACGGATCCGGCTCACCGCGGCCTGCAGAAGCCTCCACCACGGCGCGTCGCCTCGCTCAACACCGACGGCTCATGGCAGCTCCCGAGCGTTCCCGCACCAGAGTTCCTCTCCAGAGTGCTCACCGTGCCGCTGGAGAACCCTTCCATCGAGGGAATCACGACGCTGGCCAACAACTTTACCCACCTCGCGACTCTGTCCGCCAACTTTTTGTCGTTTGCTGTCTCTGGAGCCTTTTGCGACCGCGCCGCGGTGGGAACGGCGCTCGAGATCACGCTCGAAGTCGCAGCAGTGAAGAACTGCTGCAATCTGGGCGTATTCGCGGTTCAGACAGCACAGCGCCTCGGCTTCTCTCTCTCGGACATCAAGTCCAAGGAGGTGGTGCTGGACTCGGCTCCCGCCAAACCCGACATGCCGCTCGCGCGCCAGTTCATCGGCGTCTCCGACATGCCGGCCGCTGTGTCGGAGCTATTCAATTCGCACTGCCTCGTTCACGTGGGCATCCTCTCCGGCGGCCGCGTCTGGAACACCTTGAATTCACACCTGGCAGAATATGCCGCGATCCGCGGCTTCGATCAGACGCGCGACCTGCAACACGCCTCGCTCACGCACATGCTGGCACGCATGCTGTGGCGCCTGCTGGACCGCGAGGATGACCGCAGGCCGGTGTACCAGGCCCTGTCTCGGGTATTGAGCTCGAAGATGTCGCCCATCGACGCGGCATGCGTCGGCGCCCAGGCAGGGGCCGACGAGATGCTGACGATCACGGCGAACAAAGGCAGCCACTATGTGCAGGGCCTGTCGAGTATGGGCGTCCCTCTCGAGCAGGCGCCGAACGAGTCGGAGGTGACCATACCCCACCGAGCGTTCAGCCGGGTTGTTCGCCTCAAGCATGCCGAGCGCGACGTCCTCATTATCGTCACTACCCTGGAGCCTTTCTTTGGAGATGGCGGCTTCCAGATCCAGCCGTCGGTGTCAGACGAGGAGGCGCTGCTGGCCATGCTCGACAGCGATGCGGCTGCCGAGGCCCTCTCGGGCGGGGACGAGACCTTCGTCTCGGAGGTGCTCGCCGCTATGGAGAGCATGGAGGTCGGCGACATTCGCCTCGGAGACTCTTGCGACTTGTGACAATGCGTCGGTGATGTCATTCTGCTCCTCCCCCCTTGTCTTGTGTTCAGTCGGTCAGTGTCCGTGTTGTGGATTCGAGTCGAGGTGCTTAGAGAGAGGAGCGTGTTGCCGTCTATTTGTGTGTTCGTGCTTGCTCCTGCTAGATACGGGGTGTGGACCGTGAGTTGACCAGGGGTTGTGCGCCGGGCCCTCCTGCTCGGCTCCAGCCAGTAGACAAGTCTTGTCACTAAGAGAGTAGAAGGATCTGACCTCGGGGCCGATGTGGCCAAGCGCTGGTAGCGTGGTTTGACCTCACACCCATGGTCTCACAGTGTGCCGGCAGTCGCCGAGCAGTGTCGCTCACACAAGCCGCAGCACAAGTGACTGAGGGCCAGTGAGGGCGAGCCCATCGCTGTCACAGCTGTGGCAGCCGCACAGTAGGCTGTGTCAACTGTCCAGAGTGTGTGAGCAGCAGAGGAGCTGCTCTCCAAGCTTCAGGCGCAAAGAGCTGCATGCCATCGAAGGCGCTGTCGAGGTTCGCCGAGCGCGGTGCAGGTTGGAGGACACCGTCACCGACGAGCGCGTTGGACTTTTCACTCCGGACAAAGACCACTGCACAGCGGACGGTACGGGCCGTGCAGCGGTCATAGCGGCGAGGCGCGGGACCGTCTGTGGCGAAGTGGGTCGCGTCCTCCGATTTCCTCTTTTCACGCCGTCCGCCCCCTTTCTCGAGGTTCTCGAGGTGGATATCCTTTGGCCGCGTTGGGTAGCGAGGATTGGTGTAACCCGAGCCACGGAGGCGTGTTTTCTGACGGCCGACCGTCAGTGCCCTTTAGATGGAGGTGAAGAACATTTGTGTGCTCAAGAGCAGTGGGTGATCCGAAATCAGTGTGTAGCTCGTAGAGTACACGTCTCACGCTGTACCGTGTACGTCAGCACCCTGAAGGGCGCGACCGACTCTGGACACCAGGCGCGGAACATGCATGGTGGGACGCTAGCGCTTGCTTCCATTCTGCGGAACGTCTTTGTGCGACCGCCTTCTGTTGTGAATTTTTTTCGTGTGAATTTGTTGGAGCACTTGGAGCACTTGGAGTGCAGTCATTAGCCTCACATCCAGGGCCGGGGAGCTAAGAAGCGCACATGTTGCTTATGCTTTCGTTTTGTGGGGCTCCTCTGTCGTCTAGCGTGTGGCGACGCGAGGGGGTCGCCCCCCCTTGCCCGGGGCCCCTGCCACCAGCACCACCTCGTGTGTGTGGAGAAGTGTTTACCTTACCTTACTCTACCTACCTTACACGCTACCCACTCAACGTACGGCTTCGACGGCTCTCCTGAGGGGTGGCCCGTCTACCGTCTACCGGTAGACGGGGGTAGACGGGGGTACACAGTAGACCATTTGGTAGACGAGTCTACCGACGGCCCTGGAATAGCAGCCATCGCGCGCACATGCAAGACTGTCTCATCGCCGCCAGGCTCGCAGGTGTGTCGCAGGTCAGGTATATGAGTGCCCTGGCTACGGGACGGCGACCTTCGAGCTGAAGCACGAGAAGGCCGCGGGCGACCGCGAGCCGGTGCAGGCGGCGGAGCGCTCGTTCGTCGAGCGCACCGCGTCGCGGAAGGAGGAGCCGACGGAGGAGCAGAAGGATGCTCGGGACGCAGCTCGCAGGGCCAAAAAGGCCCGGCAGAAGGCGAACAAGGCGGAGAAGAAGGCTGCGGCGGCGGCTGCGAGCGAGGCCGAGCATGCGGACTACCCGCACGCGCAGCTACGCGAGAACGTCGAGTTCGTGATGGAGGGCCTGGAGGCTGCGACGCAGGCGGCGCGCAACCCCACCGGGTCCAACATTCAGGTCGCCTACTCGCTGCCTCCCGAGGGGGGCAGCGGGTTCGGCGACCTGGTGTACGCCACGGTCCCTCTGGGCTCCGTGGCGACGAGTCGCCCGGGACTGGCTCGCCAACGAGCTCTACGAGCCGTCCCGGCGCGGCAAAATTGATGCGGCCTGCAGGGACCGAAAGGTCGCCGACCTGATCACGGCTGCCGGCGCCTAGGCGCCGGCCGACGCCGTGTTCGGCGGCGGGTTCGCGACGGGCGAGACGCCCCGCCCGACGACCTCCGCCTCCGAGGCGGACGAGGGCGACAGCGTCGGCGGCGATGGCGGGACCGGCACCAAGGGCTTTGACCTTTTTGAGCCGGACCCCACCCCCATGGAGGATCTCTGAGGTCCTCCCCAGTCTCACCCCACCTTACCTCTGCCCCCCCCTCCCCCCATCCCTCTGCCTCCCATAGGGCAGGATAGCAATAGCATATGCGCCTAGTGCGCACTGGGCCCACATAGATGTGACCCGCCCACTCGAAGTGCGGCGCCCGGATGCTAGTGCTTGAGAAGACACCACAAACGCGGCACGGCCCGTTTTGCTTTTGTCTGTCTGCGGAGATTCTGTCTTAGCACACACAGTGAGTCATTCGGAGTCATTCGATGGCCAGAGTACGATTGTGTGTGTGCGGGAGTTGGTTTGTCGGGAGGGCAGGCTGCTTACCCACGTGCACCGGGCCAGTGCTTGCACTTTGAATGCCGTGGGGCTCCTGCCCGTGTCCGGGGGTGTGTGGAGACGCGAGGGTTGCCCGCTTGCCCCCCCTTGCCCCACCACTTTGATCTTTGTGTGTGTGGAGAAATCTACCTTCCTTACCTTACCTCTCACCTCTCTGCATGCTGCAACCTGCACCAGACATCCTGTACGTATCATGATGTACACTTCGCCGTTTGATACGTGTGGGGGCGCGCCTCACACCATCGCGGTCGAGAGCCTCGACCCCGCCAGCGACGCGCGCTCCGACGGGGCGTCGAAAGACGCGGCCTTCGAGCGCTCTGGCAGCGACGCATGCGCTCGCTCGCCAGCAGCTTCGTCCGCGCCCACTGCGCGCGCCGACGCCGCAGAGCCCATCTGGGGCGTCATCTCTTGCTCGTGCAAGAGGCGGTGGTGAGCGACCATCACGAAGCCGCCCGCGCAGTAGCTGACGCCTATGGGACGGTTCCGAGACGCTTCGTGGTGCGTGCCGATACCGCGGCTCCGCCCGCGCAGGAGCGGCCGCCGACGGCGAGCGCCATCAGTGCCATGCCGGGCTCGAAGCCGGCTGAGAGCGAGAGCGTGGTGTGCGTGTGCGAGACGGTGGTCTCGGGGTAGAAGTCTGCAAAGTAGTGCGCCACCATCCAGTCGAGAGGGCCGACCACGTGCGCGAGCTTCGCCTAGGAGGTGTCTAGGAAGTGTCTGCCGGAAGAGAGTTGGAGGGGGCCCCCGTGCGCGAGCTTCGCCTCGACGACCGGCCCGATCTCGAACATGGACATCACGATGACAACCACGACGAGCTCGAAGGCGCTGTAGCAGTACGCGGTCTGCGCGACGAAGGCGAAGGCGTGCGACGTGTGCCGCTCCATCGGGACCCGCCTGCACGGGGGAGACTCGGCGAGGCTGAGCCGAGAGGGGTTCGGCCGAGAGGCGCCTGCCCGTCCCTCGGAGCACGCGCCAAATCCAGAGGCAGAGGGCGAGCCAGAGCAGCGGCATCGCGCCGCACATCAGCGCGAAGAGGCACATGTGGCTGGTGCCGACCGCCTCGCCGATCGCAATGGTCATCGAGTAGAGGGAGTACGCGTTCCGCCTCGTTCCGCCCGGCTGAGCCTCGAGGATCTCGGCCACCTGCTCACAGAGACGCAGGTGTGAAGAGACGCTGTTCCCCTCCCCGGTGGCGGGGCCTCGAGGACGGCGGCCACCGCTCCCTCGAAGGTGAGCTGGAAGGACTCGGAAACGTACGCGGCCAGAGTGAGCCCGATCGCGAGCACCTGCTCACACCTCGACCCCTCTCACACCCCTCTTCTCTTCTTCTTCGGCTCCTCACCCGCCAAACAGCGAGCACCAGCGACCAGGTGACCAGCGCCGCCGAACGGGACTGCAGCTCGAGCCGCCGAACGCCAGAGCCGCCGGGCGGCGCCGGCGCACCCGCCTTCGCGAGCAGGTCGTTCAGGCGCGCGCTCGCCTGGCGCGCCGCCGGCTCGAGGGAGTGCGCCGAGAGCGAGCGGCGGCGCGGGGGCGGCGTGAGAG